CCGTCGATTATTTCCCGCCGCTCATTTTGGCAATTACTTTAAAGGTAACTAATAAATAATCAATTGTACGAATTATTAATGATACAATTGATATAATTAACGTGTATGTAAAAAGTTAATTATTTTTCTTTTTCGATTATTTACGTTCAGATGAATAATTTTGTGATTGTTAATTGTTTTCTATCTTTTTTTTTTTTTTTTTCATTTCTTACCTTTTTCTCTCTCATATCTTTTATTCTCATGTTTTTCTCATTCTAATTTTTATTTCTTTTTTTATTTTTTCTTTGCTAACAGGTCTCTACTTATCATTAAAACGTTCGTATATGTGTGTGTATTGTTTTGGAAAAACGCCTGCGCAAGTTTCCCTTTTGAAAGGAAGGTGGGTAGGGGTAACGCGGGATTCAGGGGCGAAATTGCACCGTGGTTTTCAACTACCGGATATCAGTGAAAGACGGACGGTCTCGCGGTTAAGTCGTCCTTTGCGATTCCATGTCGCCTTATCTCGTCCTATTCCTACGCTACGGAATTTTGGCGGTTATTTTGAAAAATGGTAAGTTTTAACTTATATTCTATTAATCATCTCAAAAATATATAAATCCTTTTCCATTTCTTTTTATATTATGTATTATCCTTTTTGTTTTTTTATATGTTATCTTGTATATCTCATTTGTTTATGATTTTTATCATTTTTTTTTTCGAAAAACAAGTAGTAATACGCGTTTTTAACTTTGATTAGAAAAAAAAAAAAAAAAGAAAGAAATTGTTCAAATATTCAACAAACTTCAATTAAATGACAAATTAGAAGAATTTACTACTTGAGTCACATTAATATGTAATCTTTTTTTTCTTTTTTTATCTCAGATTTAATTTGTCTTAGATTTCAACGATAATAAAAGTCATTTTTGTTTTTTTTTTTTTTTACGTCTAGTTTAACCTAACTTTTTAATTTAGGTTATAACATATATAAAGTTGGAAAGGATCCTCGCTTCGAAGGATCAGCTAATTTACCGACCGTGTCTCTCTCTTTCTCTCTCTCTCTCTCTCTCTTTCTCTCTCTCTCTTTCTCTCTTCTTTCAAATTTTCACGAATATGGACATTTCGATCGTCAAGGGTCAAGGATTTTCCTTGAAATATTTTCCTCACTCACTCACCCCCCCTCCCTCCCCTCCCTTCTGATGAATTCTTTTTCTTGTTTTTTTTTGTTTAACTACTTTTTTTTTTCTATCCCCACCACTCCGATTGTTTCTTTTTCATCATCAAACACATGTGTGTGTGGTGGTGGTGGTGGTGGTGGTGGTGGTGTGGTAACGTAAAACACGTTTTACGAATTTATAAATCTTTGAGTAGATTTTAAACTATATGATCGATATATTTTCGATCAGAACTTTTTCAACGTGTTGTTTAAATTCAAATAAGACCCACAATATATATATAT